TGGATCTGTTGGGGCGGTATGTGAATTGGAGTGGGACTAGGGTTTCCGGGATGATGGTGTTGATGTGAGCCATTACCAGCCTTTCAAAGCACTTTATGGCTACCGACGTGAGTGCTACGGGCGGTAATAATTTAGGCAGGTTACCTTCGCCGTCTTGGGCACAGGGACTATGGTGGTCTGCTTGAAATATGTAGGTACTACAGACTCGGTCAGGGAGAGGTTGAAAATGTCAGTGAAGACACTTGCCAGTTGGTCCGCACATGCTTTGAGTACACGTCCTGTTAATCCGTCTGGCCCTGTGGCTTTGTGTATGGCTACGGAGAGCGTGATTACACAGTCATCCGGAACAGCTGGTGCTCTCATGCATGCTTCAGTGTTGCTTGCCTCAAACCGAGCATGAAAGGCATTTAACTCATCTGGTAGGCTCGCGTCACTGGGCAGCTCGCGGCTGGGTTTCCCTTTGTAGTCCGTAATAGTTTGCAAGCCCTGCCACATCCGACGAGCGTCAGAGCCGGTGTAGTAGGATTCAATCTTAGTCCTGTATTGACACTTTGCCTGATTGATGGTTCGTCTGAGGGCATAGCCGGATTTCTTATAAGCATCCGGATTAGTGTCCCGCTCCTTGAAAGCGGCAACTCTAGCCTTTAGCTCGGTGCGGATATTGCCTGTAATCCCGGAATATATTCCAGTCTGTGCTAGCAAAACAGTCCTGTAGCGTAGCATCCGTGTCATCTGACCACTTCCGTATTGAGCAAGTCACTGGTACTTCCTGTTTTAGTTTTTTCTTGTAAGCAGGAATAAGGAGGATAGAATTATGATCAGATTTGCCAAATGGAGGGCAAGGGAGAGCTTTGTATGTGTCTCTGTGTGTGGAGTAAAGGTGGTCTAGAGATTTATTTCCTCTGGTTGCACATGTAAAATGCTGGTAGAAATTAGGTAAAACGGATTTAAGTTTGCCTGCATTAAAGTCCCCAGCCACTACGAGCGCCGCTTCTGGATGAGCATTTTCTTGTTTGCTTATGGCCTTATACAGCTCGTTGAGTGCTGTCTTAGTGCCAGCATCAGTTTGTGGTGGTAAATAAACGGCTACAAATAATATACAGTTGGGAAAAAAAAGTATTTAGTCAGCCACCAATTGTGCAAGTTCTCCCACTTAAAAAGATGAGAGAGGCCTGTAATTTTCATCATAGGTACACGTCAACTATGACAGACAAATTGAGAAAAAAAATCCAGAAAATCACATTGTAGGATTTTTAATGAATTTATTTGCAAATTATGGTGGAAAATAAGTATTTGGTCACCTACAAACAAGCAAGATTTCTGGCTCTCACAGACCTGTAACTTCTTCTTTAAGAGGCTCCTCTGTCCTCCACTCGTTACCTGTATTAATGGCACCTGTTTGAACTTGTTATCAGTATAAAAGACACCTGTTCCACAACCTCAAACAGTCACACTCCAAACTCCACTATGGCCAAGACCAAAGAGCTGTCAAAGGACACCAGAAACAGAATTGTAGACCTGCACCAGGCTGGGAAGAGTGAATCTGCAATAGGTAAGCAGCTTGGTTTGAAGAAATCAACTGTGGGAGCAATTATTAGGAAATGGAAGACATACAAGACCACTGATAATCTCCCTCGATCTGGGGCTCCACGCAAGATCTCACCCCGTGGGGTCAAAATGATCACAAGAACGGTGAGCAAAAATCCCAGAACCACACGGGGGGACCTAGTGAATGACCTGCAGAGAGCTGGGACCAAAGTAACAAAGCCTACCATCAGTAACACACTACGCCGCCAGGGACTCAAATCCTGCAGTGCCAGACGTGTCCCCCTGCTTAAGCCAGTACATGTCCAGGCCCGTCTGAAGTTTGCTAGAGTGCATTTGGATGATCCAGAAGAGGATTGGGAGAATGTCATATGGTCAGATGAAACCAAAATAGAACTTTTGGTAAAAACTCAACTCGTCGTGTTTGGAGGACAAATAATGCTGAGTTGCATCCAAAGAACACCATACCTACTGTGAAGCACAGGGGTGGAAACATCATGCTTTGGGGCTGTTTTTCTGCAAAGGGACCAGGACGACTGATCCGTGTAAAGGAAAGAATGAATGGGGCCATGTATCGTGAAATTTTGAGTGAAAACCTCCTTCCATCAGCAAGGGCATTGAAGATGAAACGTGGCTGGGTCTTTCAGCATGACAATGATCCCAAACACACCGCCCGGGCAACGAAGGAGTAGCTTCGTAAGAAGCATTTCAAGGTCCTGGAGTGGCCTAGCCAGTCTCCAGATCTCAACCCCATAGAAAATCTTTGGAGGGAGTTGAAAGTCTGTGTTGCCCAACGACAGCCCCAAAACATCACTGCTCTAGAGGAGATCTGCATGGAGGAATGGGCCAAAATACCAGCAACAGTGTGTGAAAATCTTGTGAAGACTTACAGAAAACGTTTGACCTGTGTCATTGCCAACAAAGGGTATATAACAAAGTAATACTTATTTTCCACCATAATTTGCAAATAAATTCTTTAAAAATCGTACAATGTGATTTTCAGGATTTTTTTTCTTCTCATTTTGTCTGTCATAGTTGACGTGTACCTATGATGAAAATTACAGGCCTCTCTTATCTTTTTAAGTGGAAGAACTTGCACAATTGGTGGCTGACTAAATACTTTTTTTCCCCACTGTAGATGAGAACTATCTTGGTAGATAGTGTGGTCTACAGCTTATGATGAGGTACTCTACCTCAGGCGAGCATTACCCCGAGACTTCTTTCATTTTAGACATTGTGCACCAGCTGTTATTGACAAATAGACACACACCCCCACCCCTCGTCTTACCAGACGTAGCTGCTCTGTCCTGCCGATGCAAGGAAAACCCAGCCAGCTCTATATTATCCATGTCGTCGTTCAGCCACGACTTTGTGAAACATAAGATATTACAGTTTTTAATGTCCCGTTGGTAGGATAGTCTTAATCGTAGATCATCCAGTTTATTTTCCAATGATTGCACGTTGGCCAATAGTACGGATCGTAGTGGTGGTTTACCCACTTGCCAACTAATTCTCACAAGGCACCCCGACCTCCGCCCCATTTTTCTCCGTATTGTAGCTCTGTCAGGTAAAGCCCTACATTCTTGAACATTGTTTGTATTTTAAAGGTGAAGGCTTACATTTTTATAATTTGCCTTGAGCATCAACCATTTAGTAGTTAACTTGCTATATTTAATATTGTAGCTTTGTGTGGCTTCACTGTGTGCTGTGCTTTGATGTGCCTATTCACTAGAACCTAACTTGAGTGCTGGGGATTTACTAGCTACTGTGTGCTGTGACCTATTCACGTAACTTCTGTGTATTAACTGCTATTACCTGTACTTCAAGAACGCCACTACTTAGTATCTGTTTAGCTCCAGTCCTAAAGAATTTGTGAACTAAAGTTTTTCATCTTACCCCTAGTTTTACCGACAAACGATTAACATGGTAATAACTAATAACAACCTATTTGTATTTTTGTCTTAATCCACCACTTCCCCAGAGAGCTCCAGGGCTGGCTGGCTGTCCTTCTAGGAGACTATTTTTGACAGCAGAGGCAAGTCGAGTTATGAATTCGTGTACTTTTGCATGTTAATTGCCACTAGTGTGTTACCATCCTACCGTGTTTTATCATGAATGTGCTATCTTGCAAGTGAATGTCATTTATGTAACATTATTTCTTGCCCTGCTGCCCAACTCTAAAAAACATTGGCACTTTGGTAAACACTGTTTGTAATTTATTTGACAGACCTGTGTTTAACTTGTCCCGAGGACCTCACTCCTGTATAAAAAGCACAGATAGAACAATGAGACAGATATTTCACTGGATGTATAATTGTGAAGCATCCGCTTGTCGTTTTCACGTCACTACCAAATATGGTAGTGAGAGGAAGCCCAATGGCAGGCAGTGGGAGATGATGGAACTAAATGGATTTTGGCCGACATTCTGCAAATGTTCTCATCGATGAAACATTTGATCTCAATACAGTTTTCTGTTCCCGAAACTAAAATATGTTATGAACAGAGTGGACTAAAATGTGTAGACTTTACCCTTTGCAAAAAAAATCGCGTTGTTTAGGAGTGCAAAGGCGAATTGAGGTATTGTACACGCGCACTTCACATAGTAGGCGTTCTCTAACGGAAATATGCAGATGAGGCTAGAACGCGCCAATAGGATCTCGCTGACTCGTGCTTGGCTCTGCCCCCCTCCTTGTTTGTTCTGCCCACCATGGCTCATTTGTTCCCATTGGAAACGACAGGGTATGGCCTATCTTTGTTAACTTATAAAACATATTTGTAAAAAGTGTCGTAATACAGTTTATGGGGGGAGAGGGAAATGACGCATTTGGGCAGCTTTTTCGGGAAGAGTAGTTTACCGCTACCATTGATTCGCTTTCAAAGCATGGATCATACCAGAAAGGACTACATATTCCAAAAAACCTTTTGTCCTTAACCGGTGCCGTGTTTTCAAAATAGCCGGAGTAGTCCATAGCGGATTTTTATCTGAAATATTTGTTGGCTAGCAAACTGTTCCAGTGCTTATTAAAAGTAAGTACATTTCAGTTCAAAATCGTGTGCCATTCAAGTAGCTTGAGATGGAAGGTTAGGTAACCCCAAATCGATAGAATGACGAATTTCTGACGTTTGTTGATCTCTGTAACGTTAGCTAGCTAACCTTCAGTCTGCAGCAAATGCTCGATCTTGACGGCTAGCTAGCTAACAGTCATTAGCTTAGTGGCAGCCAACTTGTTCGTAGCTCCTGCTTCTTAACTTGCTTCCATCGCCACCAAAGTATCAAGTGCCAGGTTCACCCAAACTGCAGTTGTATAACTACCCGGAAAGAAAGTTCGGAATCGCTAACAACATTACAATTTATTAAGTTCATAAACTAGTTCGCTGTAAATGATTGACAGTGTGCTAGCTAAATATGTTTTCAATGTTGTAATTGGGCGGTCTGTCTCGGCAGCACAGTAATCATGAGGATGAGGAACCTCTGGACCAAAGCAGGTGTTCTGGGCTCGGTGTCCATGGCGTTCGGATCCATGCTCTGGTCTCAGAAGAAGACGGAAACTAATCAGACGGGTTCGAACCCCGCATGCACGGAACCACCTTCTCCTTACGAGCTCAAACTCGTGCAAGTCCTGTTCCGCCACGGAGCCCGAACTCCGCTGAAGTCTATACCGGATGTCATGGAGGTGAGGGACCACCGGTGTCAAAGATGGTGAATAAATAAAGATGTCCCACTCAGGCATTTTACCATAGAAAAAAATTGTCAGTTCCGGTCTGCTTAACGGGGTGGTTCTCCCATAGGCACCAATGCATTAGCAGCTGGGTGTGAATGATCTGCTTAGTTAATTGACGGTATATGAACCAGAAAAAATTAGGGAGTGGGATGTCTCGCTTCCTCTTCCGTCTCTGCCTGTGTCATGCAAGAATATATGACTGACCTGATGCCCTGTTTCCCAGGACTAAAGTTGAGGGAAAGCCGTTCATGTTTAGCCTCATTGGCATGCTGAAGGTATGGTCACTAGTATCTGAAAAGCTAAAATACTTCCTTGTCCTGTCTCTCAGGCCCAGTGGGTGCCTAACCTCCTGGAACCCCCAGCACACACACAGATCAACTACGTGGTGACAGACCTGGAAGGAGGTCCACGGCCCTCCTCACCGGTGGAGGACAGCTACCGGGCCAACATATTGACCGTGAGTGTGTGTGTATGAGCGAGCGGAGGAAGTAGTACCTAGAGAGAGAGCTTCAGGGTGAGGAGTAGGCGCTTTGATAAGTATGGTTAGGGCTGTTACGGTGACCGTATTACCGCCACACCGTTGGTCACGAGTCATGATGGCAGTCAAATTCCACGTGACCGTTTAGTCACAGTAATTAGGCTTCTCCTAGCTCTGATGCTGCTGATGGTCATTAGTAGCTTACCAAACTTGCTAACTGCCTGGTACTCAGCACTCTATTGTTCCTCTAATCACTCTGACATCAATGCAAATGTAATTGAAAATCTAATCAAACACTTCATGAGAGCCCATGAGCTCATGTTGCGCAACATTTCTATAGGCTATGCAATTGGGTGAGAAAACAGAGTGATGGCCTCTATTTAAAAAGAGGAGTATCCCATCAGCTTTCTATAGGCTAGACCTACTATATTTATTTCTCAACTTTCCTAATATTAAGCACATTGCTTCTCTTTACAACAGGAGTATAGCCTACCTGGCTGGCATGAAAATGAACCATGGGAAAAGCGTCCTCCATTCGCTATTTAAGTGCATAGATGACATGTATTTTTTTCCCCATTCTAAATCAAAACAAATTTCACACAAATATTATTTAGTATATGTGAAGACAAGATTAAATCAAGAATAGTCTGATGGGTGACAATATTAGCCTATCACTTGTGAATGATATATTATCACTTGTGAATGATGCCCAGTTTGTGTGCAGTAAGGGAAGAAACAGCACATGCCTTTAAAAAAAAAGTTTTCAAATCATAGTCCCACACCTCATGTAGCCTAGCCCATAGGCCTATATGTTTTAATAAGGTTTGTATCACAACTAAAGTGGCCAAATAAGCAGCGCGTGAGTTTCAAGTTTGGGGAAGATAATTTTCACCATAAAAATGCACCTTTATAATAAAAGCATTACATGCGTAATTGTATTTGCGGTCACTTTTGAGAATGGTGTTTTCCCGTTAATTGATTGCATTTTGGAAAATTCGCACTTGTAGCCTACTGCCGTGTGCGCCTTGATGCGCTTATAATGTAAAGAAATAGCCTAATAGTTTGTCAACATTTTAAGCGAAACGTTCTGATCTGTTGCATCAGCCTCATTGCTTAAAAATGTTTTTTGATGCTAGTGGTTGTATTAATTTGGGATCTATCGCATCCCACAACTATCCCAGACTATGTTTGGAATATTTCTTTATTTGCCTCGATCCTGACTAGTCCCTACCTCTGAAAAACATCCTCACAGCATGATGCTGCCACCACCATGCTACACCGTAGGGATGGTGCCAGGTTTCTTCCAGACGTGATCTTGGCATTCAGGCCAAAGAGTTCAATCTTGGTTTCATCTGACCAGAGAATCTTGTTTCTCATGGTCTGAGAGTCTTTAGGTGCCTTTTGGCAAACTCCAAGCGGGCTGTCATGTGCCTTTTACTGAGGAGTGGCTTCCGTCTGGTCACTCTACCATAAAGGCCTGATTGGTGAAGTGCTGCGGAGATGGTTGTCCTTCTGGAAGGTTCTCCCATCTCCGCAGAGGAACTCTGGAGCTCTCTCAGAGTGACCATCGGTTTCTTGGTCACCTCCCTGACCAAGGCCCTTCTCCCCCGATTTCTCAGTTTGGCAGGACAGCCAGCTCAAGGAACAAGCCTGTCTCGGAGCTCTACGAACAATTCCTTCGACCTCAAGGCTTGGTTTTTGCTCTGACATGCACTGTCAACTGTGGGACCATATAGAGACGTGTGTGCCTTTCCAAATCATGTCCAATCAATTGAATTTACCACACGTGGACTCCAATCAAGTTGTAGAAACATCTCAAGGATGATCAATGGAAACAGGATGCACCTGAGCTCAATTTCGAGTCTCCTAGCAAAGGTTCTGAATGCTTATGTAAATAACTTATATTAGTTTTTTATTTTTAATAAATGTGCAAAAATGTCTAAAAACCTGTTTTCACTTTATCGTTATGGGGTTATTATGTGTAGATTGCTGAGGATTATTATTTTTTAAATCCATTTTAGAATAAGGCTGTAACGTAACAAAATGTGGATAAAGTCAAGGGGTCTGAATAGTTTCCGAAGGCACCTGTATGCCTCCTACCTACACAAATTACTCATCATGCAAAATGCATTTGCAAGCCAGCTCCTCTAATTACCTGGCTCCATCTGCAACTTTGTTTAAGAAACTCAATATCTTGTCTATTAACGACATTAACGTACGCCAATTATGCACTTTCATCTACAAATACTCATACCTCTCATACAGTTTACCTAAACCCTTCAATGGATTCTTCCAGGTTAGTTCTGAAATCCATATATCTAACACTGCAATAACCTTCACCATCCCCACTGCAGCACCTCACATAATCAATTCTCTATCAGATACTTAGGTACCATACTCTGGAATTCTTATCTTCACATTGCCAAAACCTCATCATCCCATAATAACTTCAAGCAAAGACTGGGGGTCAGCCTGATGTACCAAACTACCCAATAATCCCCTCCATGTAGCCTAACTCTCACACACACACATGCACACACACATAATCAAACATGGTTTTTCTTGTATACTGAGTATATCATATACAATTATAATTCATATGCTTTGTTTAACTGATTGAACAAATGTTTTTTTTAAACGTATATTTGTGGTGTGGTTTTCATATCAGCCCTTTTGGGCTTCCAACCTCACCTGCACACTGTCTTTACCAGTTTTTTAAATCTGTACTGTTTTGTCTTTCACTTATTTTCTTTGGTGCGAATAAATAAAACCTCAAATCTAACCTTTGACCCCTGTCTCTCTCCCCTGCAGGGGGGTACGTACCCAGGTCAGTTGACCACGGTGGGCATGCAGCAGCTGTATGAGCTGGGAGAGAGGCTGAGGAAGAGGTACATCCAGGACACGGCCTTCCTCAACCCCACCTTCAGCCCTACAGAGGTCTAGTAAGTACCACATCCTTCCTCAACCCCACCTTCAGCCCTACAGAGGTCTAGTAAGTACCACATCCTTCCTAAACCCCACCTTCAGCCCTACAGAGGTCTAGTAAGTACCACATCCTTCCTCAACCCCACCTTCAGCCCTACAGAGGTCAAGTAAGTACCACAGCCACATGTGCTCTTGACGGTAGCCTGGTAGTCACATTCTGGTAGTCACGTTCTGTAGCCAACTCAGTCATTGTTTGGCTTGACAATGACAAAGAAGTTGGCTATAAAGCAGATCCACATCTAGGTAACATAAAGGTAACCTAGGTAACATCAGGCTAGCTAACATAAAGGTCACTTAGGCAACAAGAATGGCTTACCAAGAAAAACGTCAAAAATGACTAATTTGAGGTAAAAATGAGTTGGAGCACTCAACAAAAAAAGGCATTCCTTTGTTTGCTGAAGCGTAAAGGACCACCTGAACTGTCACCTAGGTAACATCAGGCTACTGTAGGTTACATCAGGCTACTGTAGGTTACATCAGGCTACTGTAGGTAACATCAGGCTACTGTAGGTAACATCAGGCTACTGTAGGTAACATCAGGCTACTGTAGGTAACATCAGGCTAGGTAACATAAGGCTACTGAAGGTAACATCAGGCTAGGTAACATCAGGCTAGGTAACATCAGGCTAGGTAACATCAGGCAAGGTAACAGAAGGCTAGGTAACATAAAGGTTGAAGACATAATACCACAGTACATGTACAAGACATTGATATATTATTCTAATGTATAATATATATGCAGTTTCTTCTCTCTCTCCCAGTGTGCGTTCCACTAACATTGTGAGGACAATAGAGTCTGCCAAGTGCCTGGTGGCAGGGCTGTTCCAACAAAGCCAGAGAGGTAGGTGTCACCGTTTGTTTGTGTGCAAATGAGGGGTGTGTGTCATAGGCCAGTATTTCCTATCTCCTAATATTGCGCCCCCTCTCTTCTTCTGAAGACATGGTTTCCATTCTGACGACTGAGGCAGAGTCAGAGATCCTGTACCCTAACTACCACGGGTGCAGACTGCTCAAACTCCTCAGCGGGTGAGTGACTGGCTGGGTCCCTTTCTTGTAGATTTTTGTGATTGGCTGGATCTCTCACTTGTTAATGTTTGTGATGGGATGTTTCTCTCTTGTTGATTTTTGTGATTGGCTGTGTCTGTGTGTGTTGTAGTCATCGCTGGGCGGAGTCGTCCACTCTGCCAGACATCGCTGCGGACCTGAGGAGCATCCAGAGTGCTCTGGGCATCGCTGCCCACCAACGGGTTGACTTCATCCTCATCAGGGACGACATGGTGGCCAGAGAGGTGACACAATGCAACAAAGATACAATAGCCATGACTAAAACATAGCCTAGTAAAATATATATATATATTCTTAATTTCAAACCTTTTGTTACCAAAATGTATTATGAGATCCAACGGTATAAAGAGTGATACTGTCATTTCGTTTGTGTTGCATAGAGATTTTAACATTACAACATGTGTGTGTATTCTAATAGACACATGGCCTGCCCTGCCCACCAGCCCTGGACTCCTGGAGGAACACCGTGGAGCAGAGGGCTGTGGAGATGATATGTCACATCTACGAACCCAGCAAGAGGTCAGGGGTCAAAGGGCAGTGGGATGTAAATACAGATCAGCCTGTGTAGAGGGTCGGGGAGTAGAACACAGAGACAATGTAGTTCCCTGTTTCATGAGCATAAGCTGCTTCCTTATTCCACATTCTGAAATCAGACTTAATTAGAGGTGTTTTAGATTATTCTGTCCCAAAAATACTTTATTCTGAAGAAAAAAAATCCCCCAAGACAGTTGTTTTCTTAATCTTATCTGGGGTTTGCTTGTTGTGATCAGGGAGAACCTGCAGCTGTGTGTGGGTCCCCTCTTCCACACCCTGATGGGTAACATAGAAGACCAACTACAGGGCACAACCTCAGAGCCCAACAGGTAAGCTGCTCTTACACTGATTGAATTCATTTTGGAACAGAGCTGCCTCCCGGGTGTGAACCGGGCTCTGGCCGACGACAAAGTGACGTAGATTTTAGCACGTGGATTAATGACTAGGATTCTGTGTTTTCACATGCAAAACTGATTTGCTTTTGATAAAATCGCTTTATCTGCCTTCCCAATGAAAACGAGTTAGAAAATTCAAACATACCAGTCAAGTTTGGACACACCTACAGTTGAAGTCGGAAGTTTACATACACCTTAGTCAAATACATTTAAACTCTGTTTTTCACAATTCCTGACATTTAATCCTAGTAAAAATTCCCTGTTTTAGGTCGGTTAGGATCACCACTTTATTTTAAGAATGTGTAGAGACAATTATTTATTTAAGCTTTTATCACATTCCCAGTGGGTCAGAAGTTTACATACACTAAATTAGTATTTGGTAGCATTGCCTTTAAATTGTTTAACTTGGGTGAAACGTTTCCCATAATAACTTGGGTGAATTTTGGCCCATTCCTCCTGACAGAGTTGGTGTAACTGAGTCAGGTTTGTAGGCCTCCTTGCTCGCACACGCTTTTTCAGTTCTGCCCACAAATGTTCTATAGGATTGAGGTCAGGGCCTTGTGATGGCCACTCCAATACCTTGACTTTGTTGTCCTTAACCCATTTTGCCACAACTTTGGAAGTATGCTTGGGGTCATTGTCCATTTGGAAGACCCATTTGCGACCAAGCTTTAACTTCCTGACTGATGTCTTGAGATGTTGCTTCAATATATCCACATAATTTTCCTTCCTCATGATGCCATCTATTTTGTGAAGTGCACCAGTCCCTCCTGCAGCAAAGCACCCCCACAGCATGATACTGCCACCCCCGTGGTTCACGGTTGGGATGGTGTTCTTTGGCTTGCAAGCCACCCCCTTTTTCCTCCAAACGTAACGATGGTCATTATGGCCAAACAGTTCTATTTTTGTTTCATCAGACCAGAGGACATTTCTCCAAAAAGTACAATCTTTGTACCCATGTGCAGTTGCAAACCGTAGTCTGGCTTTTTTATGGTGGTTTTGGAGCAGTGGCTTCTTCCTTGCTGAGCGGCCTTTCAGATTATGTCGATATAGGACTCGTTTTACTGTGGATATAGATACTTTTGTACCTGTTTCCTCCAGCATCTTCACAAGGTCCTTTGCTGTTGTTCTGGGATTGATTTGCTCTTTTCGCACCAGACAGAACGCGTCTCCTTCCTGAGCGGTATGACGGCTGCGTGGTCCCATGGTGTTTATACTTGCATAATATTGTTTGTACAGATGAACGTGGTACCTTAAGGCATTTGGAAATTGCTCCCAAGGATGAACCAGACTTGTGGAGGTCTACAATTTCTTTTCTGAGGTCTTGGCTGATTTCTTTTGATTTTCCCATGATGTCAAGCAAAGAGGCACTGAGTTTGAAGGTAGGCCTTGAAATACATCCACAGGTACACCTCCAATTGACTCAAATTACGTAAATTAGCCTATCAGAAGCTTCTAAAGCCATGACATCATTTTCTGGAATTTTCCAAGCTGTTTAAAGGCACAGTCAACTTAGTGTATGTAAACTTCTGACCCACTGGAATTGTGATACAGTGAATTATAAGTGAAATAATCTGTCTGTAAACAATTGTTGGAAAAATGACTTGTGTAATGCACAAAGTAGATGTCCTAACCGGCTTGCCAAAACTATAGTTTGTTAACAAGAAATTTGTGGAGTGGTTGAAAAACAAGTTTTAATCACTCCAACCTAAGTGTATGTAAACGTACGACTTCAACTGTACTCGTTCAAGGGTTTTTCTTTATTTTTACTATTTTCTACATTGAATAATAGTGAAGACATCAACACTATGAAATAACACATATGGAATCATGTAGTAACCCAAAAAGTGTTGAACAAATCAAAATATATTTTATATTTGAGATTCTTCAAAGTAGCCACCCTTTGCCTTGATGACAGCTTTGCACACTCTTGGCAGTCTCTCAACCAGCTTCATGAGGAATGCCTTTCCAACACTCTTGAAGGAGTTCCCACACATGCTGAGCACTTGTTTGCTGCATTTCCTTCACTCTGCAGTCCACCCATACGTAAAAATGTAAGCACACATGACTGTAAGTCGCTTTGGATAAAAGCGTCTGCTAAATGGCATATTATTATATTATTAGGTCGAGGGATTGTGGAGGCCAGGTCATCTGATACAGCACTCCATCACTCTCCTTGGTCAAATAGCCCTTACACAGCCTGGAGGTGTGTTTTAGGTCATTGTCCTTTTGAAAAACAAATGATAGTCCCACTAAGCGCAAACCAGATGGGATGGCGTATCGCTGCAGAATGCTGTGGTAGCCATGCTGGTTAAGTGTGCCTTGAATTCTGAATAAATCACAGACAGTGTCCCAGCAAAGCACCATCACACCTCCTCCATGCTTCACGGTGGGAACCACACATGCGGAGATCATCCGTCCACCTACTCTGCGTCTCACAAAGACACGGCGGTTAGAACCAAAAATCTCACACAGACCAAAGGACAGATTTCCACCGGTCTAATGTCCATTGCGCGTGTTTCTTGGCCGAAGCAAGTCTCTTCTTCTTATTGGTGTCCTTTAGTAGTGGTTTCTTTGCAGCAATTCGACCACGAAGGCCTGATTTACGCGGTCTCCTCTGAACAGTTGATGTTGAGATGTGTCTGTTACTTGAACTCTGTGAAGCATATATTTGGGCTGCAATCTGAGGTGCAGTTAACTCTAATGAACTTATCCTCTGCAGCAGAGGTAACTCTGGGTCTTCCTTTCCTGTGGCGGTCCTCATGAGAGCCAGTTTCCTCATAGCGCTTGATGGTTTTTGCGACTGCTCTTGAATAAACTTTCAAAGTTATTGAAATTTCATGTCTTAAAGTAATGATGGACTGTCGTTTCTCTTTGCTTACTTGAGCTGTTCTTGCCATAATATGGACTTGGTCTTTTACCAAATAGAGTTATCTTCTGTATACCACCCCTACCTTGTCACAACACAACTGATTGGCTCAAACGCATTAAGAAGGAAAGAAATTCCACAAATGAACTTTTAACAAGGCACACCAGTTAATCGAAATCCATTCCAGGTGACTACCTCATGAAGCTGCTTGAGAGAATACCAAGAGTGTGCAAAGCTGTCATCAAGGCAAATATAAAATGTATTTTGATTTGTTTAACACGTTTTTGGTTACTACATGATTCCATATGTGTTATTTCATAGTTTTGATGTCTTCACTATTATTCTACAATGTAGAAAATAGTAAAAAATAAAGAAAAACCCTGGAATGAGTAGGTGTGTCCAAACCTTTGACTGGTACTGTATATTTTATGGAAAAGAGATGCATGTTTCTGAATGATGCATCATGCTGCATTGGTGACAACATGAATGAGCGGTGCAGATTACGGTTCGATTTGAGCAAGGAGCACCTGCAAGGGCTTGATGATTAGTTGACAAGTAGATTCCGGTGTGCTTCTCCGGGGCCACAACAAAAATATGTACTGTTGGGAGGTACTGTTGGGGGGTACTGTTGGGAGGTACTGTTGGGGGTACTGGATGACTGCAATAGAAAACACAGCCAATAAGAGATTTGTTGAACTGCAGATCTCAACCCAACCACTTGATGGTAGCAAATGTCCTTTTCTAAATGGCACAGTCTTCGTTTTTCGTTCGCTACCCCTACTCGTTGCTGAACATCAGAAATGATCTGAGGGCATTTTCACATATGTGTTTTATCTCTCAGGAAGCTGTTCCTGTACTCTGCCCACGACACCACTCTGATGCCCTGTCTCATGGCTCTGGGTGTTTTTGACATGCGATGGCCACCGTACGCCGCTGACATCACCCTGGAGCTGCATCAACACAGGCAGACCAAAGAGGCCTTCATTAAAGTGTCCTACATTGGCAAGGTATGGTCTAGGGCAGGGTTTCCGTTAGCCGGCAATTGCCGGCTTTTGGCCAAAAATAAATAAATAAAAAGCCGATAAATAAAACTGTTGCCGGCCAAAATGACCGGGAGAAAAAATATCCCATTGCAATATAATGCTTTTTATTCATTGATGGAAATACCAGTCGATGGAAATACATTTGACCCTCATGCTTATCGGTCTATAGCACAGGAGGTTGGTGGCACCTTAATAGGGGAGAACGGGCTCGTGGTAATGGCTGGAGTGGAATGATATCAAATACATCAAACACGTGGTTTCCATGTGTTTGATGCAATTCTATTCGCTCCGTTCCAGCCATTATTAGGAGCCTTCCTCCCCTCAGCAGCCTGGTCTATAGGTTAATTAGCATAATTTAGTGGAATTAAATTGGCCTGTGTGTATCTTATTTATCCAACACAACTATCACACACTCACAGCATACAGAGCCTATTTTGAGCGGGATTTCTCCTGCAGCTCCTCAGCTGGTTGTTGCTGGAGTAAAACCTGCTTTTTTATCAGACCATTCATTGCACAACAATTCTAAATGCAATCCAGTGTTAAAAACAGTTTCAGTGCAGGATTAAAAATATCAACAACAAAAAACTCTCAGCTGGTAATTGAAGCAGGCCTCCCATTCACCATTCAAGTACAGTCAACAGGCTATCAGCACGCCACCCACCGCTTTACAATGTGAGCTGGAGGCAGTATGCATTTTGAAAACATACTTCATTGTTTGAAACCTGAATGTTTTATTACATATTATGAGGCATGTCTTACCTTGCTTCAAAGTAGCCTATAGGCTAAATCCCACCATGGAAACGTGGAGGCAATTATTTTATAAAGACTTCATAGGTGGCGCGTGAGTTTCAAGTTTGGGGAAGCTTACAATTTATCCTACCATGTCTACTGTTCTGCATGCCAGTTATGATTTTCATATGCGCATTTCCGTGGATTAGTTTCATTTCAATAATAACGTTTTTGTTTCTCAATCATTGTCACGTGGTTAATCAGAAGCTGAATTAAAATGATAAAAATCTAAAAGTTCAATGTCAACTAATGTGAGATCACCAGCCTCGGGCTAAATAAATGAGTGCATGGAACTCATAGCCTATAACTTCCATTGCTCTTTCACACCAAGGATTGGTGATTATCGAGGGTGATTGTTGGAAAGATTTTTGTAATGGCTTACTATGAGGAACTATAGTTTTAATATGTTATCATTCGCAATGGATGTTAAAAAAAACAAACACTTTCCTACATTTCTGCGCAGAAGGCCAGGTACTTCTATGCGTGCTCAGGCGCCCTCAACATTATCAGGACAGAGTAACCAGACACATGCTCATTGCTCACATGGAGCACTCCAAACAAAAGACAATGAAAACATTTACAAATCTCTTAAATGATGTAATAAACCAAAACTTGTTTCTCACAAATTTAGCAGGTTGTGAACAGGCAAATTACTAATTAATTGCATTAACAGAAATTAATGTAACCAAATGATGGGGGAAAAAAAATTTAATCAAAGGGCAAACAATTAACACAATGAAACAATGAATGCACAAGAATTGTCAGGAGACAGCTGAGCCATTCTGGAGAGACTGGCCTATATCTTCACCACACACCCCTCCCGCCGCCTTCTTGTCTCAACATTTTAAAATGATGCTCAAGACACATTATCTTCACACCTATTTTTGATGTTTTTCACTGACAGCCGCAACTCAATAATCAGCTAGGCCTATTGCCAAGCGCGCTGCCCAAATTGCGGCTTCCAAAATAGGCATCGGCCTACGAGCTTGTGATTTTGAAACAATCCACGTCATATAGCAACCCATCCTAGTTGTTGCATCTTTAGATTCCCCCTCTTTCTAAGTTTCTAACAGAGATGTTCATCTCTGTCACATGGAACCACTATCAGGTGCGCTGTTTAGAATGTTGTTTTCCCAGGTGTGCTCTTTAGAATGGTATGTTCCTGCGAATTGCATTTTGTCAAATGTTTGAATATTACATTTTATTGGCTGCTTCATTACATGAGTTGCATGTTCTGTTAAAATGCATGACCATAATCTAAATGTGATTTCTGTCATTCTGAGCACCGTGGGTGGATTCCCTAATGGGTTATGCACCCAATGCATATGGGTCCGGTAAATTTCTCAAATGGCCGGTAAATTACAATCTTCCCAGTCACATTGTCCAGCGCCATATATTCCGAACGGAAACTCTGGTCTATGGCGCAACCCAAGTGTGCTAGGGAAGAGGCAAGGCTCACAAAAGTGTGCACATATTTAAACACTTTCAGGACTCTCTTTCTCTCTGAGAAAGTTAGTGATCTCTTTTTGTGTGTGTGTCTGTCTTTCTTACATGTTGATAAGAGCGTCTGCTAAATGATGTAAATGTAATGTTCTTTGTTTCTCTGTGTGTCTGTAGGACCAGTTGATTCCAGGCTGTAGTGGAGTCTACTGCCCCCTGCAGGAATTCAAGCAGGCCTTCTCTAACTACTCTCTGACCTCTGAACTCTACGAGTCGCTCTGCAACCGCACAGAGAGCGTGGCCGAACCCTGAGGCTTTTGCACTCTCACTGTTACCAGCCACCGTGTTTACATCCCACCAGACATCCACTCTCCAGCCCTAGTCTAGCATTAGCCAGTGTATTAGAGTATGTAGTATGTTAGGATACCTCACTGTTTAAACCATGGGTGGGCAAACTTTTTGGCTCGAGGGCCATATCGGGATTTCGAAATTCGATGGAGGGCCGCACAGATTATTTTTGGACATTTTTTTAAAATAAATTTGCTGGCCAGAAAAGAAGTCATAATTTTTACATACTTTTTATCTAGTTTTAGACATTCAAGTGTGGCCTGGAGTGTTTTTGATAACCAAAATTATAATTCCCCCCCACATTTATTTTATTATAATTTTTAGCTCCTGCGGGCCGGATTGAATGGTCTCGCGGGCCAGAGTTTGCCCACCCCTGGTATAAATGCACAAAGGTAGCTTCACTGTCAAAGTGTATAGCTGACTTTGAAACCACACCCAGGGCGATAGGCATCCTGTGTGGTACTGCTTCTACTGGTTACTGGTTAAGATGGTCAGTTACGTGTGGCTCAGTTGGTAGAGCATGGTACTTGCAACACCAGGTTTGTGGGTGTGATTCCCATGGGGGACCAGTACGAAAATGTATGCACACTTTGGATAAGAGGTGAAATGACTAAAATATGAAGATTAAGAAAGTTTTACTTTACAAAGTAAATCTGAATTATATTGAAATAATCTGGTGATATTATGTCTAAAAAAATAAGTGTATTACCAATTATATTAATAAGTTTCTTTCTGCAACAGTACTATGCACAGATGTGCATTTATGTCCGTAGATACACTGCATTTACCTGGTTATTACTTTATGCACAGCACCATAAATGACAGGCACCAGATTATAAATACTGTATATTGACTTTCTGAAATGTTCTGGCTTTGTTGTTTTTCAGAGTGAACCAAAATGCTTCATAGCAAACTGCAATCTTCTCCTCAGGGGAAAACCAAGCACTTCATGTACATAGTGTTCATTAACAAAGGGTACCAAAATGTATGGCGTGTATGAGAGTGTGTGTGTTTACCCACTCAGAATCATTCATTTTAGAACCTTTTTAAAAAGGGAATTATTCTGCTTACGATATGTTGTGAGTGAAACAGTAGGTGCCTTCTTTTAGGAATATGTTGATTATATTGAGTGTATAAATTATATGCATGGATATATGAGCAAATATACACTACACATTGGAGTGATTATTTGTTGTAGGTCTCATCATGGGGAGTTGCCCTGAAATTCTTAGACTTTAGAGTGGTGGTCATTAATAAAGAGTTGGTCAATGCTTTGTCTGTCTCTAATGTGCAACACCAGTGGTCATATGGTCAGTTAGTGGTCCTCATAGGGATACCTGAACCACACCTTTCAGTCATGCGTTAGATCATGTATCATAGACGACTGTATGATGCAAGACAAACGGGCGCCAAGACAATAGGTGCGTTCGAGCAGATCAGTTGTGTTAAGTCAAGTTAAAAATAAAAAAATAATTTTAAAAAATGTATGCACGCATGACTGTAAGTCGCTTTGGATAAAAGCGTCTGCTAAATGGCATATTATTATTATTATTATTATTAAGTCGGTGAAAATCGTTGGTCACCACTTATCAAAAGGTGTTGCTTTATGGGGATAAAAATTGTCTGACTAGCGCCAACATGTTGACTGCATGAACTTGACAAAAACCATGTGATCAAGGTCATGATGTTTTGACTGCAAGTTTCTGCAGTTTCTCTAGAGACGGAAGAGGAAGCAAGACATCCCACTCCCTAATTATTTCTGGTTCATATATACTGAACAAAAATATAAACGCAACATGCAACAATTTCAATGATGTTACTGAGTTACAGTTCATATAAGGAAATCAGTGAATTGAAATAAATTCATTAGGACCTAATCTGGATTTCACATGACTGGGCAGGGGCACAGTCATGGGTTGGTCTGGGAGGGCATAGGCCCACCCACTGGGGAGCCAGGCCCAGCTTAGCAAAATGAGTTTTTCCCCACAAAAGGGCTTTATTACAGACAGAAATACTCCTCAGCTTCATCAGCTGTCTCACAATCCCGCATGTGAAGCAGCCGGATGTGGATGTCCTGGGCTGGTGTGGTTACACGTGGTCTGCGGTTGGGAGGCTGGTTGGACGTACTGCCAAATTCTCTAAAATGACGTTGGAGGCGGCTTATGGTAGAGAAATTAACATTAAATTATCTGGCAACAGCCCTGGTGGACATTCCTGCAGTTAGCATGCCAATTGCACGCTCCCTCAAAACCTGAGACATCTGTGGCATTGTGTTGTGTGACAAAAATTTACATTTTAGAGTGGCCTTTTATTGTCCCCTGCACAAGGTGCACCTGTGTCATGATCATGCTGTTTAATAATCTTCTTGATATGCAACACCTGTCAGATGGATGGATTAATTTGGCAAAAGAGAAATGCTCACTAACAGGGATGTAAACAAATTTGTGCACAACATTTGAGAGAAATAAGCTTTTTGTGCATATGGAACATTTCTGGGATATTTTATTTCAGCTCATGAAACATGGGACCAAAATGTTACACGTTGCATTTATATTTATGTTCAGTATAGATGGGTTTGCTGACAAAGTCACAAAAACAATGTGCACTCTACAATGGGGCAGAAGTCTGGGAGTTGTGATTCCGGATGGCCAGATGCCTAGCAACAATGACAAGAAATTGCAATCTGGGGAATCGCAAGTAGCTTGTTTCAGCCAGTTTCATCTTGTTCCTGATACCATGTTTTGTTTTGAGGTGTTTTGACTGATTTCATGTCAATGCTAATATGGCTACCATTCGCTAGCTAGCTAACCAACAACTAACAATGTATTTATGTTTTCAATAAACATTGGAGACAAAATATCGTTTACAGGTCAACATTCTATGCCAGCCCAGTCTGTTTTGCCCCATAGTTGCGCACGTCGGTTTTGTTGCTTAACAACCAACCCGTCTATACAGTCAACTACGATGACCAGACCCAGCTGCTAATGCATTAGTGCTTATGGGAGAGCCTCCCCATTATTAAGCAGACCGGAACTGACATTTATCCACCATCTTTGGTTGGTTGCTCTTCAATTCGGTTGCATTGTGGGAGGCTCTATTGTCAGCCAATAATTGGGGTGGTTTTGTTTGACCAATACAAACATCACCAAAGACGTGACTGAAACAGTGGATATATACAAATTAATGTGATATGAGGCTCTGACTTACCAATTGATTGTACAATGTATACACATTTTAGTTTTTGAGTGTGATTTGGGGGTTAGAATCACAGTCAGGAAAAACTCTGGTTGGCGTCTGGCTTTCTTGATACACTGGCTCGATTCAATAAGTATCACCGAAGATCAGCGCTATAGAGCGCTTGAAATGTAAAAGCTATTTCCTATTGAGCCGACGTATACCAGAAAAGAAGAATAGAGCCCTAGCTCACCAGTTCTACTGTCTGGTCCCACTCAGTTCATCTTCTATCAGATTAATGCTGTGGGAATTAAATCCCAGAGTCAACAGAAGGCCAAACATCAACAGGAATCAGAAATGGAGCACACAGACTGTCTGGTAGAAGAGTTGAAATAGGAGAAAGAAGACACTACAGTTTATCAATGTTTGTGCTTTTTTAATAATACCATTATCTCTATGAGGTCATAGTTTGGTTTGTTATACAATGGATTTAAAGGAAGTTAAGACTAAAATTAAAATATCCCACCAATGGTAAACAGTACTGTTCTTTAGAGTGGCGTCCCTCCCCCAATGAAAGGTGGGTAAGAGAGCTTAGAGGTCACTGATAGAATCCCTACACACACACACACACACACACACACACACACACACACACACACACACACACAGGACAGAAATAGTCAAAACGATGGAGCTAGAGAGAAGATGGAATTCCATTGAAATCTTCACAAAATACAATTTTATTTTACAAAGTCTTTTTATTCCATTTTTAAGTTCCTTATCCTTTGCTGGGAAAATCCGTTGTTGATTTTTTTACTGATTTGAAAAAGTCGATAGCTAGCTTTCCAGTCCTCAAAGGTGGTTTGTTCACTCCATTCCTCTTCGACACTCAACCCTTATAGTCAGAGATTTAACACAAAAAAACAACAACACTTGAGGAACAGTTTAATTGTGACATTGAAGCACAACAATCCCATACATTCAGACATTTCTGGAGAGACAAAATGAAATGCTCGTGGCAAAAGACAAGTACTGGGCTATGTAGCTCCCACAAGCCATTAACGGCATCACTCCTCTCCCCTTAATGTTCCACGCCAGAGAACCAATCTCTGTCATTCCTTACTTTCTATGTTTTAATCCATCTCTTTCATCCATCTCTTATCTGCTGTGACACATTCCATCCACATACTGTATATGAGCTCACAACATTTGAGGTCCAAGGTTCTATGAGTTGTATGTTAGAACATTCCGGGCCCTGGGCTGAACCCCATGTCCATGTCCATGCCACGCGGCCTCATCTGCCCCCCCATCATCATCATCGTCGTCTGCTGGGGGGGGCCGCCCATGCCTTGTAGTGACATCATCATGTTGGGCGACCCCCCAGGCCCAGGGTGGTTGTAGAGCACCCCTCTCTCCTTCCCCTGCATCATGCCCCCCGGACCCCCCTGCGACATCATCCGGTGCTGAGGTCCCATCATGCCCTGACCCATGAACCCTGGGGGCCCATGTGGCCGCATAGGATTGTGGGAAGGGTTTCCCATGGGCATGTCCTGGGGGCCCATAGTGCCTCCCGGCCCCCCGGGCATCCCCCCCATCCCCTGCATGGGCATACCCATCCTTGGGGGGCCCTCCCCCATCATCCCCTGCATCATTCCCTGCATGTGTGGAGGTTTCCCCCCTGGGCCGGGGCCGCCATCTCCTCCTCCCCTGGGGAAGTAGGACAGCGTCTGGCTGGGCTTTTCTGATGGGATGATCCTGGACAGGTCAAACTCTGGCATACCGGAAGCTCCGGTTCGCATCACCTCATGCAGGTCTGCATCACTGAACTCGCCGTGCATGTTGAACTGTGGTCCTCCAGGGTTGTTGGGCCTACCTCCGTCGCCTCCACCTCCAGGAGGCATGTTCCCCATCCGACCCCCCATGGGACCCCCTTCTCCCTGGAAGCCCATGGGGTGTCCTGGGAAGCCCTGGGGCCCAGGGCCGTTGTGGGGGGAGTAGGCGCCCTGCTGGGAGGGGGACTGGGGGAGGGGGTAGCCCTGCCCTCGGTGGGGGTAGCCCATGCGGCCCTGGGGCATCAACTGGGGGTTGCCCATGCCTTGATCCTGAGGGTTGGGATGCATCATCATGCCATGAGGCATCATGCCAGGGCCCATGTTGGGGGGGTTTGGGGAGGGCATCTGCTGGGGCATGCCGTGGGAGAGGGGCTGTGAGCCCATGGGGGTCATACCCAGGGGACTGAGGACAGGCATGGGGCCAGAGGAGCCGGGGCCCATCATACGAGGAGGACCTTGGTGGTGGCTCATTCCCATACCTACAGAGGGCCACAGAGAGGGACATTAGTGCACCATACAACATAGAGAGCGTGCTATAATTTCATTCCTCCTCTTCAATCAAATTGAGCAAACCATAAAGTCAAAGCTCTAAGAAAAAGGGTTACAAAATACATACAAAATAAAAATAGCAAAAAAACGTATTTATTTACAAGATACTTGAATGAGGTATAACATGACATCTAAGCATGTCTCCGTCCACTCACCATTGTTGTTCATGGGGGGCAGGTTCGGGGAGCGTGCAGGGGGCGAGTCGTCGTCTGAGCTCGCCACGGTCTTGATGGCGTCATGGTAGAGGGGGGTGGAGCTGGGCATAGCGAACTTGGACATGCGTGACATCATGATGGAGAGGGGGTTCTGGGATAGCGTGGGTTCGGGGGGTAGGGAGTAAGGGCTGCCGGTCGGGGCGCCGCCTGGACCCCCCTGGAGGGGCATGGAGCCAGACTGGGCTCCTGATGAGGGGGGGGCCGAGGGGGGGCCATTACCACCTGGGGAGAGGTGAGAGATATGAAAGTAAACTCTTTACCTGGGTCCTATTCATTAGGTAGCAAAAAATACCCTGGTTACTTTGAAATAGATATAGAAGGGACAATGTGGCAAACACATTTCAGGTAGACATACAATACATGTCAATTGTAAATAATGACGTGAATTAATTTAGATACAGTGAAGTTACATAGCCACAAGGGGGTGTGATTTAACTGAAATGGGAAAAATTTTCTGCTTAGGGAAAATGTGTTTACATGGATGAGAATGATGCTTTCAATTGACTTATTGACTTATACATTATTTGATTTGAAGCTGACGGAGACAAATTCTAGCCTGTACTCCCAGATACACAACACAGAGGTCTGTTTAGACTGCCTGGACAACAGACCGAGTGCTGCAGGGGGAGGGACGTTACAAAACAGCCCTCTATTCAAGACATGATGTCATCTTCACCCAATCATACATCTCCATCAGGTACTAAGTATTTTAAAAAATCTCTGAAAATGAATATTATCTCTGTCTTGAACATAACATTAGGAATGTTGTTTATCACAGCAGTTAAGAGAAAGAGAAGTGAGAGCGAGAAGAGAGCAGTGGAGGGAGAAAGAAGAGAAAGCCAGAAAAGTACTGTACCTTGCTCCATATTTCCCATCATGTTAGGTGAGGTCATACTGTGGGGGGTTTTACCCCCTTGCTGCTGGGGGAGTCCTGGGCTGGGCATGGGGGGTTTGGGGGAGGAGGTCCACCCTGGAGAAGGGTTGGGGAGGGACGGGGACCTCATATGTACGGGGGAGGCACCAGCAGACCCCATCATAGAGTGAGGAGACTTCATGGGAGCAGAGTTGGCAGTGTTAGGGGGGCCGTTGGGTCCCGGAGGGCCGGAGAGCATACCAGCCAGCTGGGAGGGGGTTTGGGGGGACTTGAGGTTCCCAGAGGGAGAGCCCATCATGGGAGACTGCACCTGCCTCAAAGGAGGTGACTTGAGGGGGTTGATACTGGGTGAGCTGCCCCCTCCTGGCTGGATGTTCAGCTCTGCAGGCTTACGTCCCCTCTGGCCCTGGAGGGGTCCGGCGGCGGGGGGGTGGTGGTTGAGGCGGCCGTTGCCTCCCATAGGGGTGGTCCTGTGCTCCGGGCCAATGTAGGCCTGCTCTCCATGAGGGCCCCTCATACCTCCAGGACCACCAGGGAAGGGCCGTGCGGGCCCCATGGGGAAGTCCCCTGGCTGGGGCTGGTCAGTGAAGTGGGGCCCCTGCATCTGCCTCCCCTGGGGCCCCATGTTGTCCATTGGATGCCCTCTCATTCTCATCATCTCATCTGGGCTCATGTTCATGCCAAACTCAGGGCCCATGTCCCGGCTCCCCATCACAGCCAATCTGGAAGAGGGGCTCATGGGGCCCTCGCCAGGCATCCTGGGAAACATCATCCCGCCCCCGTTGCCCGGCTCCATGCTGCCTCTTTGGTGTCCCATCATCCTCTGCATCTCCATCATCATCTGTGGAGGAAGACCCGGTCCCTTGTCGCCCCCCATGCCCTGGTGAAACATGGCCTCTTGGACTGACTGGGGGTTGGGGAAGCGCTCTCCCCGCACCCCTGGACCTCCGAACATACCTCCTGGGAACCCCCGGCCATCCCCCATCCTGGGGGGCATGTCATCAGGCCAGCCCATCCCGGGCCTGGGGGGTCCCTCCATGTCAGGGTTCATCATGCCCTGGGGGAACCCAGGCATCCTCTGCATGTGAGGAGGAATCCCTCTGGGGCCCATGGCCATGCGATCCTGGTAGTGCTCTGGTGGCCCTCCCGGCCCCCCTGGACCCCACACCTCTCCGGGGCCCATCTGGTAGGGTGGTGGGGGCCCTCGCATCATGCTGCGCGGCCCGTGGGGGTGCATCATCATGTCGGGAGGAAGTGGCCGTTGATGTATTTCCTGTTTCCTCTTCTTTTCCTCGTAGAACTCCTGCTGCAGCTTCAGCCAGGCCACCTGCTCCGGGGTCATGTGATCTCCATCCACACACCCTCCAGGACCCATCATGTGGCCCAGCTCATCTGGGAAGGGGGGCATGTCTCTGGGGTGACCATGCGGGGGGCCGAATGGGGTTCCCTGGGGTCTGGACCCTCCCGATCCCCCTGGTGGACCTAGGCTCTGTGATTGGGCCATCATGGCCTGGAGAGGGCCCTGCTCCGGCCTCCTGGGCCCCCCATCGGGCATGCCGTCGTGGGACTGAGGGGGTCCCCCGATAGGACCGGGTGGCGGTGGGGCATCGCGGTCGTCAGGGAAGAGCATGCGCTGGATGTCTCGCAGGGTTTGGAGGGAGCGCTGGCGGTGCTCCAGCTGTTCCTGGGACAGGCCCTCTGTGTTAGCTTCCATGTTGAGAAGTTCCTGGGCCAGCTGCTGCTGCTGCTGCTGGGGGGTCAGACCAGGCTGACCCATCCCCATGGGCCTCAGCCCTCCTCCTTCACCAGGCTGAGTGGGGTTCAGGGGGGGCATGCCCTGCTCAGACTGGGGCTGGCACCCAGGGGTCTGGTCACCTGTACCCATGGTATTACCAGGGCTGCTGCCAGAGAGGTTCTTGGGCTCCATGTCTGCTGAGGAGGCCCCATCCTGGGTGAGTGAACCAGGCTTAACCCCCTGGGGAGGGGGCTGTGGTGGAGCTTGATCAGTCAGGCCAGGTTTAGACCCTGTCTGGTGGTTCTTGTCTGAGGGATGAGATGAGGACTGCTGGGGGGGCTTGGAGTCACCTCGGAGGGGTCCTGCCTGATCGTTCTAAAACAGAGAAAGGAAAAAGACAAAAGGCAGGGGAATAAGAAACAAGGAGGTTTGAGTAAGTCAGGGTTTGTAAATCAAGTCTTTATTAAAGCTGACTGTTCACACAGACTGTATGCCAGGTTTCATGTCTAGTCATCATGGCAGTGTGTGTGTTCTTACCAGGGGTGGGAGGGGGGTCTTGTCCTTGCTGTTGGAGATATTTTTCATGTGGAAGTTGATGATGTTTTCTGAGTGGCCTGTTAGAACAGCATCAGCAGCCCTAAGGAACAGAGACCAGACAGTCACATCTATCTGTCCATCTGTGTGTGGCAGCAGAATGAGGCCAGTGTCAGCAGAGGGCATGAAGGAAATGCCAAGGTCGACAGACTAAACAAACAATTTCACTTAACATCCAGAACATACATCTCCTATTCCGTACAGAGGACAGTGTTAATCGGAGACAACTGGGGAAACCAACAGAATACTAAAGCTCCACTGACTGAGCCTACCTTTCTCAGGTGTGTGTGTGTGTGTGTGCGTGCGTGTCCGTCCATGACTGTAGTAATACTGCTGTGTTCAGCTCAGAATAACCTGGGTGTGTGGAACACTGAGTTTGCTGAGAGGGAACACGTCACACACTGCAACTACAACTCAATCACTAACACACAGAATAAAGCCCATTGAGTGTAGAACGTTTAGATTCTTCATGGACTATTAGGACCAAGATGGTTCTTTGACATTATTTCCCTGAGATCTCCCTTACTTGTTGGCCATCTCTGTAGTGAAGACGTAAACCACTTTAGACCCGGCCTTCTGACCACCCGCCGACTCCGACGCAGCGCCCTGGCCTCCTAGTGCATTGTGGGAGGGTGTGGAGGAGCGGCTGAGTCCGGCGTTGGAGGGAGGATGGGAGTTGGAGTCCTGGGGCTTCATGTCACTGGAGTTACAGTCTGGGGAGGGACAGAGAGGATAATGGTTACTGTAGTTCACAATAGCAGGTGGAAATGGGGATGACGGAAGGACAGACACACTTACTGAAGAATCCTTTGTCGTCCTCGTCACTCTCTCCTCCAGAACACCAGTCAGCTCCACTGTAGGGCTGCCTCCGCTCAGCCACACACATCCTCTTCACCCTGTTACTGTCTGTACACACACACACAGTCAGTCAGTGTGTGTGTCGTGTGTACTTATACAGTTACATCTGAGCTCTCTATCGATAATACACAAACACACTCTCCCTCCCTTATCAGAGTGCAGTCCTGTCCACCAGACTCCCAGGAGGAGAGCAGAGAGACAGCAGCATATCAATTCAGAGTGTGACCATAATGACACGCTTTCAGGGGCCTGCTGATGTTTCTACAGCCACAACAACATGTTCACACAGACAACAACATGGACACATAACACGCCCAGTAACTTCAATAGCTATTGTGTCAGAGAGACAGATGTAAGCACTTTAGTTTCATGGGAATGTGAAAAAAAAAAAAAGTGGAACGTAGGTTATGATTAGTAAAAAGTACACTACTTAATACCTCTATTTAGAGTGCAGTGTACTACTCACCCTTGTCGTCACTGGTGGGCGTAGCTGTGCCTGGCTGCTGCTCGTTGTAGGACTCCACTGAGGTGCTCCTCTCCCTCTTCCCCTTGACCTTTGTCCCCTGTTCCCCAGAGGTCAAGCCCTGGCCGTTCTTCAGACCCCCCATACCACCTGGAACCACCCCTAACATGCCTCCTTGCTGGGAGCCCTTAGCACCCACTGTCTTGGGGTCGCATGACGAGACCTGCGATTGGCTGCCGGCACTTCCTGGTTTGCTCTGATTGGGCAGTTTGGAGTCCATCTGGGCGGCGCCACCGGAGGGGGACATGACTGGAGGGGAGCGCACCCTGACCTCTGGCTTGGGTTTAGGACTGAGAGAGGGGAGGGAAGAAGTGCTTATCAATGACATAGCCTTGGTGTGCGTGTGCATGTGTGGATGTGTTTAACTATACTTGTGGGACCAGAAGTCCCCACAAGAATAGTAAACAAACAAAAAAATTTACCAACTGGGGAGATTTTGTTAGTCCCGACAAGGTTAAATGCTATTTCTAGGGGGTTTAGGGTTAACGTTAGAATTAGTGTTAGAATTAGGTTTAGAGTTAGTTTTACGGTTAGGGTTAAGGTCAGGGGTTAAGGAAAATAGGATTTTGAATGGGACTGAATTGTGTCCCCACAAGGTTAGTTGTACAAGACTGTGTGTGTGTGTGTCACAACAGGTGTGGCTCCCCCAGTAGTACACACAGTCTCTTTGTCCTCTTACTAACCCCACCATGACACACAGAGGGGGGAACAGGCCGAAGCCTGGGGCTAAAGTTAACGTGTGCCCAGTGAACAGGCTCCCAACTGGGGGAGGTTGAGCTGGAAAAGAGGCCAGAGAGTCAGACGGCTGGCTTGGAGTGAACCAGACTGACCTCTTGTCCCATCAACCCCTCCCAATCTCCCCTCACTCCCCTCTTTCCACTGCCGGGAGGAGAGACTGCCAAAATAGTTAAATCACACACAGTCATTCAGCAGCTCTGTTTGTATGGAGGTGCCCAAATATGAACAGACTAAAACAGTGGGCCTACTGTGTCCAGGATTTACGCTGTGGGAAATCCCCCAGCCTACCACGATCCATCATTATAGCTACTAACCACGGTGCTGTACAGTAAGAGTATAGGTACAGAGGGAAGGGAAACACACACTTTTCTCACTGGCCAATAGCGCTGTAGGAATAATCCCAGCCAGAGTCTTATATTTGGCTCTGATCCGTAGAGGAGAGGCAGAGCAGGGCGTCTGCTTCTGAATGGCCATGAGTAAAGTACAGTTTAGGAGAACAGGAACCGTCCAACTGGCAGAGAGATCACCATACCACACCCTACTGACAGACACATTCAGCCAGAGAGGAGAGAAAGATATGAGAGAGAGAGATAGGAGAGAAAGAGATATGAGAGATAGGAGAGAAAGTGTGAGAGAGAAGACTGGCAGGCGTTTGGCAGGGCAGAAGCTGGTTTCCAGTGGCTCCAGAAACATGAGTCAGCAGAGAACATCCAAACAGTGTACTCCCTGACTCAAGGACACACATTACTACCACCACCACCACTACTAATACTACCACTAATACTACCAATATCACCACTAATACTACCACAACTACTACCACCACCACTAATACTACCATAACCACTAATACTACCACAACTCCTACCACCACCACTAATACCAATACTACCACCATACACACATTGTACACTTGCTCTCCCTCACCTCTGTGTGTTGGTGGATGGGGAGTTCTTCAGTCTGTTGGGGTGAATGGAGGGGGCTCCCAGCACCACAGAGCAGGGTGGGGTGATGAGCTGGTGGGGGCTTCCTGTGTGTGTGTGAGGGGCTTTCCCTCTGCCGTTCCCTCGGCCACCCGAACCCGGAGCACTGCTCCCGATATTCCCAAGATTCCCCCGGCCGTCCTTGGCCTCCTCTCGTTCCTTCTTCCCTCGCTCTTTCTTGCTGAAGTGTGTCGCTGCCGTTCCTCCTGCCGCGGCAGGCCTCTCCTCCTGGACCTCCAACATGCTCTGTGTGTGTGTTTGTTTTAATAACAGTGTGCGTGTGTCTGTTTCTGTGTGAGGAAGAGTGTGGGTTTCTGCCGGAAGTTTCCCCAAGGGGCTCTCACAGCCCTTGGGCACTCTGTGGAGAGAAAACATAAGATAATCATTAGACAAAAATGTTAGAGAAACGTGAGAACACCTTTACAACAACTCGTGTTATTGAGGTCTCATGGTCATTGGTTCTAACATGTTTGTAAAGAATTCCGTTGTGTATCATCCTCTCTGGTAGAAGTAGTGGGAGTTCCTGAATCTGGTTGACTGGGGAAACCAACAGAATACTAATAGAAGCTCCACTGACTGAGCTCTCAATTATGACTGGATTCCTATTGACGAGTCCATACAAGTTCTTATTCTGTGTGTGTGTGTTCTCTATGTTGCAGCAGTGTGTATATGTATGTGTGTGTGTTCTCTATGTTGGAGCAGTGTGTGTGTGTGTTCTCTATGTTGCAGCAGTGTGTGTTTTCTCCCCTTCTGGTAATGACATGAGAATCGGCAGTGAGCAGCACAGTCAGATCATACTGTCATCCTGCAAATATTTAGGAACTCCTCCAAAACACTCAAATACTGTAACCGGCCCCAGAGATCCCATGAAGGGATGGAGAAAGAGTGAGAGGGAGCGAGAGAGCGAGAGAGAGAGAGAAAGAGTGAGAGGGAGCGAGAGAGAGAGAGAAAGAGTGAGAGGGAGCGAGAGAGAGAGAGAGAAAGAGTGAGAGGGAGCGAGGAGGAGAGAGAGAAAGAGTGAGAGGGAGCGAAGAGAGAGAGAAGAAGTGAGATATGGAGGAGAGAGAGAGAGCTAGAGAAAGAGTGAGGGAGCGGAAGAGAGAGAGAGAGAGGAGAGAGAGGATGGGGAGAAATAGAGGATATAGAGAATAGAGAGGAAATTGAAAAGAGAGAGAGAGGGTTTTTAAAAAGGGAAAAGAAAGTTATTCAAATTAAAAAATTTTATTTCTTTTTAGGAAAAGGGTAAATTGGAAAAATAAAAAATTTTTTAAGTATCTCTCGCTATTCCTCTTTTTTTCTCTCTCTCCTTTCCCCCACCTCTTTCTCTCCCTTTCTCTTTCTCTCTTCTCTTTTCTCTCTTACTTTGTTCGTTATCTGTTCTAAGATAAATGATTAAAAAAAAAATGTATGATAAAATAATTAGATATTTGGAATAGATATGAAGTTCTTATCAGAGTATAATCTTTCTTTATTATCTTTCTTCTCTCCCTTTTGTTTTTCCTTGAATATTTCTTTACTATATTATTTAGAATAATTTCTAAGGTATAATTTTTTTTTCGCTTAAGGTAAACTTTGGGTGTCATAGGAGAAATATTATTATTCGATAATAATAAATTATTAATTTTTTTTAATATTATAATTTTATTACATATATATAATTAATTATAGAAAGTTAATTTTTTCCCAGATATAAAATTTTTTAAGATATAATTAAACATTAAAAATATATACATAAAAGAAATTTTCTAAATATATAAATTACGAGATAAAAAAGTAATAGAAAAGAAAATAAAAATATTGAGAGTAAGCATAAATTAAAATGATAAGAGATAGAGAAAGTAAGAATAGAAATATTAATTTATAAGAGATAAAATTAAAAAAATAAAATTATTTAATAAAAATTATTTTCTAAGTAGAAGAAATTATCCTTTTAATTATTTTTAATATTATTTTTTTTTTAAAATAAAAAAAATTTATTAATTTTAAAAAAAAATTTTTAATTTTTTATAAAAAAAAAAATTTTATTTTTAAAATAAAATTAAATTTATTTTAAAAAATTTTAAAATTTAAATATTTATATTTTTAATATATTAAATTTTTCTATATAATAAAAAATTTATTCTATATATATATATATAAATATTTTATTTTATCTAGATATTATATAAAATTAATCGCTATATATCTATAGATAATATTATATTATTATATATATATATAAATTTTATCTATATATATATTATATAACTATTCTATTAGCTATATATATATATATTGCTATCTATAATCATATATATAAATAATTTATTTATTAGATATATCGATTTCTATACTATATATATTTCTTTTACTTTAACTTAACAAACACTCACTGCTAGCTCTTATCCTTACAATTGGCTAACCTATAACACAACGACTGTACATTGCTTGCACACGCAAATCGACGTGAGACCAGAGTCGAACCCGGCTCCATGAGGGGTCTAAAGGGGGCTTAGCCCCATCAGTTCAAATTTGAGCCCCCCCCCCCCAGTTTTAGTTTTATGTCCCTATATAAAAATAGCAAGAAAGTTAGAACTTTTGAATGGCAGGTTGGCTATTGAGTGACAGAGTGACAGTCAGCACAATGGAGAGGGCGCGCCGCGGTGTGTGTAGGGAGGCTATGGAAAGCCACTGGGCGGTTAGGTATGACTCCTTTGGGTTTCCATAAAAAGCAGGGGGGAAAAAATATTCTCATCCCTGTATTCTAAGCCAAACTGCTATTCAATATTTTTGTTTGCATGCATGAATAACTAGGCTACTACTTTCAGCATTTAGTTTGAATTATTTTGTTAAGATACCCGGGTGTACGGCTGAACTCTCAAAGGGCAATTCACCTATTACAAACAGCCCATCTGGTAACCTATATTCATTATCAACGACCAATCACATTCACCTGAAGAAAACTGAAATCACACCAAACGGCCAATGGATGCCGAGCCCACCCTCGGAAGCCTCGCCTTCTTGGCTATAATACCGGTGCACGCATTCATTTCCTCACTTCAGTACCTTGTATCAGCGAGCCCAAACCCCCTGACGAAGAGGGACAAAATATGTTATACCTTGTTCCCTCCTTCAGGGAACAGTAGTTATATTCATAACTGTACGTTCCCTTTCAGTCGGTCACTCAGTATAACATACTATGGGGACATACAATCACGCCCCAAGCCGGCTCAGAGGGTACCAAACTAGGAAGCCCACGGCAACCCAAGCACACATAGGTTCCACCTGCTCCAAAAAGGAGTTACAGAAGCCACCTTTTTCCCTAATACTTACCCGAGAAGCCTGAACTGTCAGAGCCCCATATAGGGAACCAGAACCTGCTGCAACTTTGCTATGCGCACTGACACGATGCCACTGCATCCCAAGTCCATAGACCCCATGGTTCCAAGAACAATACCTTGTGAGCTTGAAATGTCAGAACTCGTACAAGGAACCGCAAGTCCAAAACAACAGAACACCAGTCTCCACTTTTACACACAAGGGGGTTGAGACCCCGGGGTAGAGCGTTCAATCTCCACTTTTACACGCCAAAATGGCTGCCACATAAACCTTCAATGTGGAAAAAAAGGCCCTGCTCAAAAAGCTCTTTCAAGAACATCAAAATGTCCACCAAAGAGGTCTGAAAAGGATAAACTAATTTAACATGACACCAAACCTCAAACCCACACCACTTATATGTATACAACCCTCACGTAAAAGGCGCATGTGCCGACTGTATAGTCGGAATCACGTTTGAGGGTAAACCCCTAGCCGTCAAATTAAACCTTTCACGGCCAAAGCCATAGATCCCATATCTGCCGTTGTTGGTGCCAAACTGTCTTGTGCGCCTGGGACAATAGATACCCAACAGGCGGATGATCTCCGGGAACCAGGGTTGTCTGGGCCAATGGGGAGCCACCAGAATCAACAACAGACCCTCTCCACGGTGGCCTGAATCCGGTTGATTTTGTCCACCCACACCAGACGTGATCAGGACACGCAGGTTGAAATATCAAAACGAACTGAACCAACTATATTAATTTGGGGACAGGTCAAAAAGCATTAAACATTTATATCAATTTAGCTAGCTAGCTTACTGTTGCTAGCTAATTTGTCCTGGGATATAAACATTGGGTTGTTCTTTTACCTGAAATGCACAAGGTCCTCTACTCCAACAATTAATCCACAGATAAAAGGGTAAACCGAGTTCGTTTCTAGTAATCTCTCCTCCTTCAGGATTCTTCTTCTGACTTTATATGGCGGTTGGCAAACAACTTTAAGGTGCATTACCACCACCAACTGGACTGGAGTGTGGACCTCAGTTAATCTTTCAATCACCCACGTGGGTATATGATCCTAACGACCAATGAGGAGATGGGACTTGCAGCGTGTCATGCGTCACAAATAGAACCAAGTTCTATTTTAGCTCCTGGCTACGCAGACGCTCATGGACGCGCACGAGCAGTGTGGGTGCAATGATTTAATAACATGTATGTGTACATTTATTTTGCTGTACCAAAGCTCTGCACTTCTGACACGGGGACTACCCAAATAGCCTGCTTTTGAAGGAGAGGGGAAACCTCCTCTCTCAAGACAGGTACTAGGACCTCAGGGACCATTGACGTAATGACTACACGAAAAGGAAGACACCCAGCGAACTGCATACCATACCCCCTCGTCACCGTCCTCATCACCCATAGTGAAACTGCACGCTGCCAGTCTCCTATACATTATGTCCTGAAGGGGCAGAGCGCCACCCTGAGGACTGGGATAAAGAATTGTCATGCTTGTTTCCATATCCACCACTCTTGACAACCGTGTCTCAATGTGGGGAAGGAACTGTGTTTGTTTTGCCCACACCTGAACGATACCACTCTCTCGATAACCCTGAACACTGAGGAACCTTGGGTAGAAACAATGTGCTTTCATGGTACCACTGTTCTGATACCAGGCCCTCACCGGGTTCGGGGACTTCGGCAACCAGTAACTTGCCCCCATTGACCGAGACACTTAAGAGTACTGTTGCCACAGTAAATGTGTGGGGAGGAGGGCCCCTAGAACACGCCCCCTCCTCCGGCATCCAGCTAGGGTCACAAAGTTGGCTTCTTCCCCCGCATCGCAGAATAATCTGTTTTCACCCCGCTCCTTTGACCCAGCACGGCGTTTGTACCAAGACGTCCGGCGCTGCCCAGAAGCACCAAGACGGTCAAAAACCAATCTCGAAG